TTTATAAAGGCAATGTCCCGTTTATAGCCACTTGTCCTGGACTCCTCTCTCATGTGCTGTTGGACTTCTGGAAGAGAGTGACTGGAGCCAAACTGGTCCCGTGAGTCTGCTGAGATGGGTGGGAGTGGGCCTGCAGATGCCCTGGCCATGCCCATGGGTTGACCTACAGGGCTCAGTGGACTCTCCTCTTCAGAGTTTTGTGCAACAATGGGAATTCGACCCCTGCTCTGACTAATTGGCAGACTTGTTGGTTTAGCCCTAGATACAAACTGGGAATCCATGCCCTCACCCTCTGTTTTCAGGCGTAGTGAGGAGTTTGACAAGTCTCTTTTGATAGACAGGTCCAGTCCATATACAGAGGAAGGCCTAGAGGAAGGTCTTGACCGAGTGCCACTGGGGTAGGTGCCATCATCGTGAAGGGAAGACCTTATGGTAGGCCCTAGGTTGAGGGATTGGCCAAAGTTGAGTGACTGAGCCAGGTTAGCTCCAAGAGCTGAACCCAAATATTTCTGTTGCTCCACTAGGTTCTTCCTAAGACCAAATGTGATCTCATCCTGCAGGAGCCTTGCCCTGGAAGACAGTCCACCAACTGATGAGCTGGCAGAGGACAAAAAGGTGCTGTAATCTAGCTCAAGGTCCCTGCTCTCTTGGATGGGCGAAAACTTTGTAATTTTGGGGTCAATTAGTGCTTTTTTATTCTTTAGCTGTTTCTGGTAAAGAACTGAGGCCGGAAGTTGCTTGGCAGCTTGCTTCTCTAAAGTTAGTCTCCCGATGCTATATTTATCAGCTTTGGGGAAATGCCTAAAACTAGCGTCGGAGTGGAGGTAGTGAGGCAGGCCTGTAAGCATTTCGAGACTATCCGTACCACATCGGAACTCCTGCTTAATTTGCTGTTTCAACATCTTCAATTCATATGGCTCTTCCATGGAATCTTCGTCTGCTTTACCATATGAATGCAATCGAGAAGCAGGCTGAAGAGGTCCAAGAAAGTCTGCCACATCTGCTGTCCGACGAACATCAGCAGTCCGGAGAAGTCGGTCAGCTTTGCTGATATCCTTATCGGCGATACTGAAGCTTGAACCAAGGCCTGTAGAGCTCTTTGTGAGTTCGCCGATGTCATCAATCAAGACATAGTTCCTGGCATTGTGGTGGTCAAGGTCTGCATAGAAGGATTCAGCTGATATGCTGGACATGGGACTGCTGGCCATGCTGGCCCTCTCTTCCAGGCCCATCCTCAGATCAAGGCTACTGTATTTACCACCAAGATGGGAAACTCCGTAGGCACTCTCTGTGGATGTAGGGACAATTAGGAGGGGCTGGTTGCGTACAACCTCATAGTTTGTCGTAATCTTTGGTTCTAAGTCAGACAAAGTAGTCTGACGGGGTTTCTGATGCATCAGGAGGAGTGAGGAATGGTCATAGCCAGTCTGCTGGGACTGCTGATTGAGTGAGGGCACTGATGAGTAGATGGATTGGTAGGGGGACACCTGCTGATGGTAAAGAGACTGCTGCTGGTACAATGTCTGCTGAGGATACTGACTTGTTTGGGATGCATACTGATAATGGGAGTATGGACTTGTAAGCTGTGCATACTGGGACTCGGACTCAGTCTGTGGTGGAATGAACTGGTTAAACTCTGACTGTGGGGCAGTCCGTGGCCGTTCTAGTCCATGACCATTACCTCGTGCCTCTCTGATGTTGCTGACCTCACTATCTGACATGTAGTCTCGCTCTTCTGCCACTCCTTGTAAGTAGGCTCTCTCCCTCTTCTCTCTCTCTTTCAGTAAAGCCTCTTTTCTTCGATTTATACCCATCTCCAGATATCTCAATTTAGCATCTATCTCTTTCTCCTCTTCATCAAGTTCTGCCTGTATCTTACGGAGTTTTGAGGACTCACGTTCAACTAAATCCAGCTCTTTGTCTATGTCTTGGAGGATTTTGGCCCGCGCCATAGTGGTGTTTCGGCACATTCGTCTTCTGGCAGAAGCAGTGGTGTACCCAGAGAGGCCAATGAGGGTATCTTCTTCCGGTGGTGGATGAGGTAGTGTGCGTTTTACTTTCTTCTGAGTGCCAACTGGTGTGCCACTCTGGGAACCTTTGCTCTGTTGATTACAAAAAAAATAAAACAGAAATAAAAAGAAAAACAAGCAAGCGATATATTCAGCATGGACACTTGACATGCAATGCAATCATTAGGAGAGGACAAAATAGAACAAATATGTTCTTTAGATAACAAGAAAAGAGTGAATCCATTTTAAAGTGCAGTACTTACTGAGTAGGCGTCTGAGTACTGGTACATCATTCTGTCCTCAGTTGTCGGACTGAGTGACTTGGGGTCAGACAGAGATCGTTGTGAGGCCCTTAGTGATCTTGTACTACTGAGATGCCTTGATGAATCAGCAGTAAGCATCTTCTGTGAGCTTTTCCCAGGGGACACTGGTGAAGCCGGGGAGCATAATACCTTTGGAGATTTGGTAAGTAACAATGTTCCAACATCATTAGCTGTCAGGTGTGTGCTAACACTTATCTCAGAAGGAGCTGGACATCTTTTATCGCTGTCTGACGTAATTTCTGAATCACTTTCTGTTTGGCCCTCTCTGTGTAAATCTACTTTTGTGTCCACCTGAGCCCGAACAGGAGATCTCCTAATTGTCCCTGAATGCTCTGTCTGAACTGAAATCTCGGCTACAGTCTGAATCGCAATACTTGATACCTTGGAGCTTTTTCCCTTCTCTCCATCAGCATATCTACTGGAACGAGACCTGCGTCTGCTCCGAACGGGGACATCCCATTCATCCTGATCCTCATCATCAGTTTGCACACAGCTATCTACACTTCTCCTACTTCTTCTCCTTCTACCAGAAGGAATCTTTTCAACCCCATCTTCATCATCTGTTTGAACACCACTCTCAACCAATTTCTTTCCACTTAACCCCACACTTTGCTCTTGCTTGGCTGTACCTGGTAGGTTTGTGGACAACTGCATTTGATCCTTTGTCTGTGCACTCACTGATACAGGAATGCTTGAACTATACTGTGTAAAAGCTCCAGAAGTTGTTGTTAGCCAGTTTTGACCTGATGTGGAGTCATGGGTGGACACTGCAGACGACACTGAATTGTCATCCTTCACTGGCCAGTACTGTCCATTATCTCCCACAGAATATTTTGAGTCAAGTATGATGTCTGAGCTCAAGGGTGGGGACATACCCTCACTTGGCCCGAACCCATATGGGTATATCTTTTGCTCTTCTAGTTGTTGCTGGAGTTGCTGCTGTAATCGATGGATTTGCTCAAACTGAAGTTGCTGCTGTACAAAGGTTTCTTGCTGAAGAATCAGATGGGCTTTGCATTCCTCTTCTTGCTGCATTAGAAGTTGCTGCTTCATGTTTTGAAGCTCCTCCAGCTCCTTCTGAACAATGATCTGCTCTTGCTCACGGTAACGCTGTATCTCTTGCCTCTCCCATTCAAGTTCTTCCGCTAGACACAGCTGTTTCAATTTCTCTAATTGTAAGAACTCATGTTCAGCCTTGTACTGTTGGCTCTTGCTGTCATCTAAATCAGGGAAATTCGGGGATACCAGCATGTCCAGTGAGGCTGCTATTACCTCAAGAGTAGCATCCGAGTAGAGCTCAGGGAAGGCTGTCAGGGAAGGAAGGAGACTGGCTAATGCAGAAGGTAGGATATCCTTTGATATATCAGGCTGTGGGAATATTGATTGGTCTGTGGCTGTGGTGTGTACAAAGCCATATGGAGCAGGCTGATTTTGAAGTGCTGAAAATGGCTCCATAGAATTGGTGAGACTATTGTATGTTGTGCTGAATATTGAACCTGGTTGGGAGGTAATTGCATATGTGGAGGGAACGGGTGCAGCAACAGATGAGTAAACGATGCCATTTGTCGATCTCAGTAAACTATCAATGCCAAACGACTTTCCTTGAGAATATGGAGTAGTGGTGATCCCAGTAAATGCCAAAGTACCTTTCTTTGAGTAGTCTAAGGCTTCTTCTGTTATGTTAGGAAAACAAAAATAGCAGCATCATCAGCATCTAAATGAACATTTGCTCAGTTTCATGCAACAAATGAACATGAAATGGAAGCCAAAGAGCATGCAAAGATCTTGTCAGTGTCATCAGATTAGCAGGATGCAAAGCCAAAACACTGAGGGACAACACGGAGGCAAATGCATGCATCTGTGTTTAAAAAAAAAAAGAACAGAAAAAGACATTCAGTGCGAACATCACAAAAATAAGAGACATAACCAATAAATAATACATTTCTCAATATTAACATACAAATACAAAAACAAATAAATTAAGGATACATGTGCACAGTCATACTGACCTGTTGACATTTTAGCTGATGTCAAATCAATAGCCCCCTCAGATGCCCCATTCTGATATGAGAATCCATTCTTTCTTTCATAACCAAAGAGTCCAGCCTCTTTGAAATCACTGTCGGATATCAAAGCCTTCATGGTACTAAGATCTTCAATGACAGGTGTTGTGGCAATATCAATTTGATAGGCAATTTGATTGTCTGGTTGTGTGGTCACAGGAGGTTGTGTTCTGCAGCTCCCTGTGAAAGGAATCCTGTAAATTACATCGCAGCAAGCAGTCCGTCTTCCAGATGTTAGATCAACTGGTGTACCATCATCTTCCAAAACAGTTGTGACCACTCCAGAGGATGAGGACAAAGCAACCATGGTTTTCATTGGCTTAGACCTGGTGAGGTCTACAGGTCCAACTGCCAATGGCTCTATATGTATTGGTATACCAGCAGTGCCATTTGTGAAGCTCACCGGGGCTATAGTTACAGGCATAAGAGTAGCAGCTGTGGTTGCAACAGCTCTGTATGAAAGGTTAACAGGAATCTCTGCACTGGTTGTAGGCTTAGGTTGCAAATTCACAGGTCTGTACACTATCTGTGCAAGTGGCTCAAATGGATTATATGTGGTAAGTGGAAGAGGCACTGAAGTAGCATTTCCCAGGTCCAGAGGCTTGTCAACTGTGTTGTTGTTGTAGGCAATTGTAGCTGTGCAAGTGACAATTGTTATGCTGTCAGTTACAAAAGAGAGTGTTGTAGTGGGGATTATTTCAGCACTAAGATTCACAATTTCAGGCTGTACAGCATTGGCCTGTCGCCCACTTGATTCACTTGACACGGAAGACCTACTTGAATCTGGGGCAGTCAGATCCATTCCTTGGTCAGTCATTGTAACATTGACTTTAAATGTGGTAAGATCTATAACGTTACTAGGGTAGTGTATTCTTCCATTCTGTTTAGGCTTTGGATGGACTTCTGGCTGGATTGTGACTGTAGCCCCCACAGGTTCAGGTATGGGTTCGACAGGAATCCTCTCCTGGACAACTGACACAGTTGTTGTTCTTTGTACTTCAGTCTTGACAACTTGGGTTACAAGATTAGGCAATGCATCAGGATGCTGCTCAGTTGTTGAGATTGCAGAGTAAACTTGGCTCATGCTTGATATAACTTTATCTTGTCCACAAAATTCTTGACTCTCAATAGATTTTGTAAATTGTGCAAATGTGACTGGTACTGGTGGCACAGTTGTTGCAGAGGTCACTGCTGGAATTTCTTTTTTTTGCTCATAAACTGCTTGGTGCTCTTGAAGCTGTGTTATTGGTACTGGTGATGGACCCAGTTCAGTTAAGGCCTCTTCAGAAGCTGAGACTATTAGTACTTCTTCCATATCCAAACCAGGAATGTCTTCATTTTGAGCTGGGATTGGAATCTGGGTTATTGTTATTGGAGCAGAATATGTTGTTTGCATTTGTTGCATTTCAAGTTCTTGTTGCACATCACTCACTGTATTGTGAGGAACAGAATCAGCATAAACTCCTGACAGTGGAGCTAAGGCTACCGGTACCTCCTCTGATGGTTTTGATGTATGCACCACTGAGACTGGAGCTGTGGGAAGAGAAGAAATCAAGGAAGGTGTGGGGTACATCATTGCTGGATATGCTGTTGGTTCCATAGCAATGGGCGGTGGTGGTGGTGGTGCTGCTGCAACAGGTGCTGCTGAAATCAAAACAGTAGGTGCCATTACAACTGGTGCTGTATCATGTGGTGTTATAATTGCAGATGGGGAATTAATTGTATTCTCCATTGTGATATGAGGAACAACAGTCATAGATCGTGCTACTCCTGATGATGCCATTACAAGAGGTGGTGAAACAAATGTTTGTACAGAAGCAACTGGCAGCTCTGGGACCATTACACAAGGTTCCGTAATACTTTGTCTTGAAACTGCAGCTAGTGTGATATGATGAGTCTCTGTTGTGACTGAAGCAAGGTCAGGTGCCATCGCCTCAAGGGGCACTGCTGTATTTAAAGCTGAGGTAGGCTTTGGTGGGGCTGCTACAATTTGTGCTGAAATGAATGACACCGGTGGATCCACTGAAGCTGGAGCAAACACTCTTGGAGCATCAGATGGAACCTGCTGTCTGGGAGTTGTCAGTGATGATCTTCTCATCGGTGCTTGAGTTGTAATGCTCTCGACAGGAGATCCTGGTTCTGAGGGCAATGTTATCACCACATATGTTTCAAGAGTTCTAGCAAATCTGGGTGACAAAGGTGATTTTGGTGATGAAGCACTGTGCTTAGTCTCTACAGGGGCAGCCAAACTTAGTGACAATGCATTTGGAGGTTCCCTTGTTCTTGGCAAAGTTGCAGCACGAACTGCTTGAACAACTACTGGCTCGGGGCTAACTGGTGGCTTAATGCTCTCTCTTGATCTGTGACTAAATACCAGTCCTGGTGGAATACATACAGGTTTGGGGGGAACAGGGGGTGGTGATTTGTGTGTTGGGGTCACAGCTGGTTTTATATTTACGCTGGCCACATTTGGTGGGGGTTCAGGTAGAGTTGCTGTAACTGATGAGGGAGTTGGAATAGTCTTTTGCTGGTTAAAATCAGCCTTGGGTACTGCGCTATATGGCAATTCTGGTGGTGAAGCTTGAGGCGGTGGTGGAAATGAAATCACTGGTTTATCTATTCTTTCTTGAGAAACATGGGGTTTTGCAGATGTCACACAAGGTGGAACTGTTGAATCAGTGATGAAACTTGACATTGTGGCTGGATATGTAAAAGGAGAAACACTAACAATAACAGGGTGGCCTCTCTCTGTCTGCACAACAGGAGAAATTATTTGTGAAACTGACTGTTGTGGAGAAATTCCATCATCTGCTGTATTTTCCTTCTGCATTTCCACCATTCTTGTCTGAATATTGGTCAGCCTTGATTGAACTGGTTGGGAGGGTGAAGTTCCAAAAGCAACAGTTGTAGTAACAGTGGGAGACACAACAGAGACTGTCTTTGTAGCAATATACTCTCTATGACCTGCTGGAGGTGAAATAGTGGCTGCCTGGCCTAACTGGGCTGCCATGTGCGATCTGGTTTCTTCTGACTTCTGAATAGGAATTTGAATAGAAACACTGGTTGGTGGCTGAGTCTCTTTTGCTGAAGCAGGAATACTGGATTGAGCAGATGGTGGTGTGGCCACTTGTTCAACAGCTGAGCTGGTCTGGTCTGCAGAGAGAACCTTTGCTGGTATTGAGTCTGATACCATTGTTGGAACAGAAATAGGTGCTTGATCCACTGCTGAAACTGTAGCTGGAAGTGGGGCATAGGTTAGAGAAGGTATTGGAAAAGTCACAGAGATTGATTGAGATGGAGATGTAACCAGGTCTGGTATTTGGGCAACAATGGTGTTAGTTGTAGGAATCTGATTCCTGAGTGCAGTGGATGGCAGGTTAGGTGCTGAAACTGGAGTTTGTTCTAGAACTGGATGGTCTAATGCAGGGGACACAAGATCGGGCATTTGAACAACAACAGATGTTTGTGTTAAAGGTCCTTTTTGAGACTGAACAATGGGTGTAGCAACAGTAGTAGTATGAGTTTTTACATAGTTTACTTTTGGAGCAATTATTTGTACAACAGCTTGTTTGTCTGTAGAGGCTGATTTAGCAGCTGAAAGTGATTCATGTATTGCACCGGCCAAAGGTTTCTGAGCTAAATCTTGACAAGCTGAATCCAGTGTAAAGGATGAAAGACTATCTGGAGTAGGGACTGTTTCCTGTTTAGGTTTTGGTGCAGGAGTTGGTTTTGGACCTGGTGTTGGCTTTGAAACAAGAATTTCAGAAGGAGTCGGAGTGCTAGCATTTTCTGAGACATGTGGTGAGGCTGGAGTGACCGGTGAAGGGGATCCAATAATCTGTGTGGAAGATGCAACAGGAGCACTTGCTGATGGGTGTGTTGTGGCTTGCTCAGACACCAAGTCTGGCATGTGAATTACAACTGGGGCAGAAACTTCAGCAACACTGGGGCTAGCTGGAGTAGTTAATTCAGATGCCTGGTCAGAAACTGGAGAGGATGATGGTGCTGTTGTTAGTTCTATATTTGAATCTGGGGATGAGACTGCTGAAGATGTTGGTGGCGACAGTGGTGATATTGCTGTTGTCTCCACAACATGTTTTGATGAGGGAACTTCACAGATTACAGAAATGGGAACAGTCTCAAATGATTCTTCTGGGGCTTGTGGTTCCTCTTCACTTTGAGGGATATCAGTTGGCTCAGATGACATTTTTTCTTGTGTGACACTGTACTCCTCTTCAACTTCCTCTTCACCAGAGGAGCACTGAGTGATCTTTAAGTCAGGAATTGGATATAAAGCTTTATTCCCAAATACATCCTGAGTAAATGTGGACTCTGTAATATAAGGCTCCAAAATGCATTCTATAGGTTCAGCTAGGTTGTCTTCTTCCCCACTTGAAGGGATGAGAATCACCTCAGGGGAATCATATGATGACTCAGACACAGTTAGAGGGGAGGCAGGAGACACAGGAGTTGACTGTGTCGGACTTGTTCCCGGTGTTAAAACATCTTTTTGTGTCTTCAATTGCTCTTCATAGGCATCCTCTGTTTGCAACAGTGGCTTTGCATTTTTATCTGTAGTAAGTGCATCATTTCCAGAAATAGTCACATAACAAGTGTCACTGACATCAAGTGGCAAGGATGTGTCGATCTTTGTTGCATGTGTTTGCTGAGCCGCCTCGTCTTTTTGCATGATCTTGCTCCTTTTATGCATCATCTCCTCATAAGCCTCATCTGGTGTCATAAGTATCCTCACCGACTCATGTTCAGACAACTTTCTCAAATCTTGCTCATGGGTGACTTTACCAAGAGCTGTTGCAGCCTGTTCTTGTTGTTCAACTAAAGTTTCATAAGCATAGTCCTCTATTAACATTCCTCCATATAATGGTTCAATATCGGGTGGTGTGAATTTCTCTGATGTTTTGTATTCCTGTGCTTTCTGCATAATTTCCTCATATACCTCTTCAGCACTCTTTAATGGCTTCTCTGCAGCATCATGTGTTTCAGATGATAATGTTCTGTATTCTGCATTCTCTGGTTCAGATTCAAAACTAGGTGAAAAGTCAGAGAAGGAGGAGGACTTCTGTTCCTCCAGCCCTGCTGCCTTCCTTAATTTATCAGTTTTAACCAAATGATGACGTCTCCTTTGCATGCCCAGATCATCTCTTTCTGCCTTTAATTTTTTTGTGACCTTTCTTAACTTCTGCTGATCATCTCTTTCATCTTCCTGATCCATCTGTTTACCCTCCTCACGTAACTCATCCTCCTCAGACGAGTCCTCTATAGTGGGAAAGACCTGGCCATGAGGTCTGTATTTTGCCTTTCTTTGCTGTTTACCCTCCGCTCTTGCCTTTTTATGACTTCGGCTACTATCACTGTCTTCATCAATAGAGGATACAGAATTAGACGAAGCTGTTCCTGGCGTGATGCTAGACACCTGAACACTGGACGACCCATCACCCTTGGATGAGTCTTCAATCAGACTCTCATGTTCCTCTGTGGTCTGTCTAACAGGAGTTTTTTGTGTAATGGCTGTGGTGTCAGTAGCTATGATCTTTTCATTGTCATTTGACACATATATTTCCACTCTGATTTCTTCTAATGCTTCTGAGACAGGGATGGCTTGGGCAACTTGATCATTTTGGTCATGAGAAGACAGACTGATATCAGAAATTTCCTCAGGCTCTACAGTAAGTTTCTTTAGGGCACGTTTAGGCTTCATGGAATCATCAGATTTTTCGACTTCTCTGGTTTCTTGCTGTGTTTGTTGTTCTTCTCTGTGTTTTTCCTCATCAGAAGGTAAGTTCTCCTCTTCACCCATGTGCATAAGTTGTCTTCGTATGAACTCTTCGTCATCTACAGAATTTGAACTGTCTAGTTTGTAGTCCTCACTGCTGGAGGAAGCAGGCCTCACTCTTCTTCTCTGTATCTGAGGGGAGGGTTCACTCTCACTGCTGTCCTCTTGGTATTGTTTTACACTGTCTGATGCTCTGACAGGCAACAGTTTTGTAGTAGTATCTATTATGGTCATTTCACTGACTCTCTGTATCTCCTTAAGCTCCTCCTCAGCCGAGCTGTATGATTCTACTGATACCGGCAAGATGTCCTTTCTATGTTGCTCTTTAATATCTGCTTTTAAGGTGTCTACTTTAGAAATTTCTGGAAGACTGCTATCTATCTGTACCACAACATCTTTCTGTTGTCCTTCTATTGCAGGTTGAGTGTATGTATCCTCTTTAACCTGCGGAAAATGAAGAAAGAAAAAATGGCAAATACATGAAATTACTATTGTAGCTGTTTTCTTAAAACATGCCTGCCTCCTATTCATGCCTAACAATTATTTTTACTATAATACAATAAAATAATATTAAACATATGTTTGAATAATAGAATAAAAAACTTATTGCATTGCTCAATAATGTATATGTAATAATATACCTTTACTTCATCTGCCTCAGTTGACACTGCTGGAAGCATAGACATCGGTTCTCTCTCTACTTGTGTCTCATCTGGGAATTTGTCTTTGACTGTTTCTTTTAAAGTGACTTCAGCAGCAGTAATAACAGCTTTGTGAGTCTCTGCAGCTGGTACTGGTGCCACCACAGCTGTCATCTCTGTCTGCAGCATATCTGTGGTAGGAACAACAGGGAGAGGTGCAGGGAACACTGGAACAGTCGCCACTGCCTTTGCAACAATTGTAGGGATGGTTTTCTCCTCCTCTGCCTGCTTTGCAGGTGACTGTTTTGGCTCAGATTTTGGAATAGGTGTCTGTGCAGAAGTCTCGGACAGCTGTGTTTTGGGTGTGACTGTAGGCTTGTCTTTTATGGATACTGGGCTGGATATGGGTATTTTTCCCATGTCTCCCAGCTGCCCAGCTAGAGCTCTCTGTGTTTGACAAATCAAACACAACCGCTCAGCCTGCAAAAAAGACATACAATGAGATTTGATAAATATATTGCAAATCATTATTTATATAAATAATATTAATAAAATATCTCAGAAATACAGGCATCCTATTGATTTAGTGTCGCCAAATATTCTGATAGTCCTTATTGTTGCAACATCCCACCCCCCTACAAATATGTTTGAATAAATTACTAACAACATTAGGGCACATCATTTATTTAAAGATTGCAGAGGACAGCACATTTAGAAAAAACATTTGACAATAAATGCACTGTCTTCAGCAATTTTACAAAGGCCCTTTTCTTTTCATTATTCTGGCAAGTTAAAGCAGCATTAAAACATCTCTCTCTGCTCCTACAGGGGACAGTGCTTACAGGTTTTGACACGTGTGTGTGTTGTTTGTGTGTGTTTGTGTGTGAAAAAGAATGATAAAAAAAACTGAGGACATGCTATGATTCAAATACACATAGAGAGAGAGAGAGAGAGAGAGAGAGAGAGAGAGAGAGAGAGAGAGTGTCTTAACAGGAGATTAGGGTTTATTCCCACATCCAGTGACGCAAACAAGCCATAATTCATAGGCACATGGTCTGATTGAACACTCTTCTTTATGATGTAACACCCCCTCCATCTCTTTTGTCATACTCAAAGGCTTATTCACAAAGCTGTGATTATAGAAACTACACTTTCTTAGAAATTGCATTGTAAATCAAATCATTTAAAAAGCATGGGGTATGCAAATGCATTCCAAAGGAAAGAAATTGAAAGACAAATCCCAAGACTAACTCCAGACTGAAGCCATAACTCCTTTACAACATAGCTATTCTATTAAAAATGCTGCTAAATCTCCTTATTTGTAGATAATTTGTATTTCATCTCTCTCGCTCTAATGACATTTTATTAATGATTGCAACAGAAAGCTGAAAGATGTATTCTGGATCTTTTTAACATTATGTACTAGAAAGAAGAAATGAGGCATAACTAGATGATGGTAGACACATGTAATCACAGACAAAGAGGATAATTCAATGAGGTAGATCAAGACAGCCTTCCTCTTCAGAAGGCCTGAATTACAATAAAATACCAGACTAAAGAACAAGGGTTTGACTGGGTCATTACAAAGTGTCACCATGGAAACCAGATAAGATTTATGTCCCCAACAGCACAATTTGTCCTGAGCCTTTAGCTCTGTGCCAAAACCTAGTGAGCTGCCTACCTAGACAGCATCTTAGGCATGCTTAGGCAGGCTGAAAACATTGCAACTATTCTTCAGACAGAAGGCAAAATTGATTAAAAAATTAAGGAGAATTAATTATAAAATTCATTATAAAATTCAAAATGATTATTATAATGTACTAGTTGGCTCAATATTGCGTGGAAGTATTTTTATGCTATTGAACTGTACTCTTAGCAACAAATTCTACTGAAATCTTACGACGGGAAAAGATTGTTCCAAAAGAAACTTAATAGACAGCAAATGATTGGAAAAGCTTTGTAGTTCTTGTAAATTTGGGCAAATTAGTGAATAATTAGTAGTAATGGAGTCACATTGGTGAGGCAATTGCCTAAAGCAGCTTATTTATTGAGAAGAAACATTATATAATAGATAACTACTAGCTTACCATAAACTAGATATGCAAATTTCCCTATTAGAGTGAGATAAATTAACTCACAAACACAGGCATAACATGAACAGAAATGCTCATGGTTGCAAAAAGAAATGAGAACATGCTCATTTCAACACTGGCTATGGTTTTAATAAAAGGTGCAATCATCACCTGTAATTGGAAACTTGACTGGCTTATACATATGCAAATCAGGAGAAGCCTAATTCAACACACAGGCCCATCAGAGCAGGGAGACCAGTCAGAAGATAAATTAACAGGAACCAATCATCTTTTCCAGCATGTACGACTTTGTGAAAGAATGTCCTCATCACTGCTGCTTGTCAGTACTGTGTATACAGGCAATGTAGAGTGATCACAGCACACATATAAAACCACAAAAACAAAAAGACTGAATTGTGGGCGCTACAAACAGGAAAATATCCAAAAAGTGCTTAATCAAGGTGCTAAACAAGGATGCGCAAAACTGCATATTTTCAAAATTAATTAGCCTGTGTGTTGCCTGAACTACATTAATCTGTCTTGAAAAAATCATGAATAATTAGGATATTTTGGAATTCACATAAATCTAAACAGCACACAGAATTTAATAATTTTTTTTTTTTTGCAGAATAAATAGCTATGCAACCTGTATTAACAGATTATGGTGATTCCAATAGTGTCAGAATATGACAGTTTTACATTTTAAGAATATTTAGCTAACATTCAGAATCCAAACCTGCAGAGTATCTTTAGTCATTTATAAAATTCTTCCTCTACATTATCTAAATGCTTCCTCAACTTTACTTTGTCTGCTTTTTATTGCAGTAGAGAAAAGAGAAAAGGGCAACAGCAGAAGTATGCTTTTCAGATCAATCTAACTACATGTCATGGTGATTACATTTATTCTACAAAGAGCAGTCAAGGAGAGATATCACTCTCTAAGATCAATTATGTCTGCTCAAGCATTTGGAAAGAAATGTCAATGTCAGCGTCCTTGAATAACGAAGACATGATTCATTTGTGATACATATATTATTCATTTGTGGGTGATTTACACTTCTCTAGGAAAAATGGGCTTATACTGCATATTTGTTAGTTTCACATCTGACACTATGGAAATACTGCAAAAAGGAGAGGTAAGAAACAGAAGCCATCTGTCTCTAATTGACAAGGAAATAATGTTTAATAGGGAAAAAAAGCATGAACACCTCAATTTTGACCACATTCTGACCAACGTTAGAGCACATAGCAAACAAAATCCATCCAACATAAGAATGAGAACAATAAATTCTGCACTATGTTTTACTATGACCTTTTTTCATTCTACACAGCAGTGGAAGATCATGCAACATTACCCAACATCATAGCTTCCCACTTCAACAGTGTTTTTATGGCTGGTTGCACTTGTTTTGCCATTCCTGCCATTTACTATGGAATATGAATGTCAAAACTACTAGTACACTGATACAAACTCAATCTTACAATTTAAAAAAAGTTACTAAAAATGTAGTTGTCCTACAGCATCACATTCATAGTTAATTCAGTACTTGAGTACTGTTTGACTGACAAAAGAGTTTCTTTTGTATGTTTGAAAGAACCTTTTTCAGAACTTCCGTAATTTTTTCATGATTTTTTCAGTTGGTTGTGATGACTAGTTATTAATATTTATTATGTACTTAATAAATCCAGTAAAAATACAACAAATACAAACACGATATAAAAAATAAACAGAAAAAAGCACTTGAACATCTGACATCAATGGTTCTCTAAGTAAGAGATAATTATGTATACTGAAGTTTACAGCTGCATTATATTTCCAATGTTCTTGTCTATACTTAACTCTAATTTTATGTTGAGTTGTTACCATCCTAGCACGATGACCGTGAGTAGTATTATTAGTTGTTCCTTTCTGCTGCAATTGCAAATGCATCTCTGTGCCCGCCGCAGCTGGTTCTGAGCCAGCCAGGCCTGGCTGAACGCCATACAAAGTCCTCTTTAATTACAGACAACCAGCAAGGACCAGCAGGCCTGGAGACAGGCCTCACATGCGCCTTTGTTCTCAGCAATTAACCCCAGAGAAAAACATACCAGCTCTTTGATGATAAGACTCATCAAGCCTTACAGCACCACAATAAGGCACTCCACTGAAGGAGATATCTGACCTTTTACCAAGCTCTAATCTGTTAAATCTGTTAAACTTCAACCAGCCAGGATGACTTGGAGTAATAGCAAATGGCATAGCTATATAAGTTGCATCTTTTCAATATCTGAAAGCTATACTCACTGCAACCTGTTCCTCTCCAGCCATCTAGACAATTGCATTTTTCCTTAAGAGCTCCTTAAGTTATAGCTATTCCATTCATCTTCTAAGGGTAGCACAATCTGCAATGCCAAAAGCCGTTAGGATAATAACACTTTGTATTCAACATTCATTGCAGCAAAAGCTTGCTCCCTAAAGCTCTGTAAATGAATGCATACTAAACAGTGTTCCAAGTTGCAGCTCTTTCAAAGAGCCCAAATATATTGCATTTGCATTTTGTAGCAACATGCCACAAGTTTGCATAATATTCTAAACAGCTCACAGCACAGTCCAGGTGAAATAAAGTTTGTTGTATTTTGTCAGCCTGTCTCTACTACAAAGCGGGAACAGATTTGCATTTGAGAAGTAAGATTAATTTATAGCCAAAGTTATATATTAGAAGTGCTATTCCTCCATGGGACCACAGCATTGCAGAGCTGTGTCTGACACCGTATTGATTCCTGGAAGCTGCCTTTGGCAATGGTTGTAACTGGCTAATATAGTGAGCTTTTAACCACCCCACAGTGGTACAGTCCCAATAAATCTGGCCCAATGGTAATAGAGAATCTTGACCTACTAATCTGTAATAAGCAGAGTGCTCGGCACTGAAGGCAGAGAGCCAAACCGTGCTGCACACCGGTGTGACAGAAAACAGATAAACAGAGAGGTGTAGAGAAGGCTTTTTTTAAAACAATATCCTCTATTTATTCTTGCGTGCATCAGCAAAATGTATAATTGAAGACATGCAATTTATCTTGGGTGCAGGTTGAAAGACAGAAGATGAAAGATGAAATATTTCCAATTTTCTTTATAAATGACCAAACCATGCTCAGTGCTTCAAAATGCTCTCTGTTTGTGCCTTAGTGATGTTCTTTTGACTGCTCTCATTTAAAGAGCCAAACATGCACAGACACGCTGTAGGAGCATGTAGAGAGCTCATTGCTGTAAGAGCAGCTTGTGAGAAGGGAAAAAAAGTAAGGTGCATCTCTCTAGTCTCGCCTCAGACTATTTATACACCCACCGTCTCCTCCAGGGCAGCTCTCCTTTTTGACTCGGCAACAGTTGCCGTTTGATTCGAGAATATGAAATATCTCTTCCTGCAGCTGTCT